CCAGGGCTGCATCCCTGTATTTTCGCATGCGGGGTTCCTTGGCCTCATACTCCCCCCTAATTTGCTTGATGACCAACTTAGAGTCGCTTTTGATCTTCAGTTTTGAGCTCTGAAGTGCCTCGCTATTCTGAGACCGGATAACAGGGCCTCATATTCAGCTTCATTATTGGATACCCTTTGGAACGTTGCCAAACTCGCTAAGGTCTGAGCCGGATCAACGTTGGGGATACGATTCCCCGTGCCTGGCGTCTGGAATTGCGGTGGTCGCGTTGCTGTTCGCCTGGAACTTCCAACGCCTTGGAGATGGTTTCTCAAATCCTCCTGTCGTGTCGCATTGTCGTTACGCCTCCGGAAATCACTCCGTTGTGACTTAGAACCTTCATATTCGATCACAACTTGATCGAAACGATTACCGCCTTGATTGCTACCCGCACGGTGGTGGCTATGGGATCCAACCATGGTTCGTCGTAGATCGAGCTCTCAACGAGAGCACCAAATGATGAAGTTTAATCCAACTACGAGAGCTAAATCTACAGAAGCAGATGAAAATACGGCAGCGTAAGACAGTGTCTTATTGATCAGTGTTTCGATCCCCCTACCAGGAGGTTTAGAAGTCATATTTATAGGCTAAGGAACTAGTGTTTCAAAAGGAAACTGATACAATAAATGCTATTAATTACATATTAGTTCAAATAGGACTCTCGTAATGTCTTGGCCGTTGCGCAATGATTGTTCCTTTATTCCCATGTTCTTGTCGTTAACTCCTGCTAGCTGCAGTTCTAATGATAGCGTGTCACGTCAACCCTAGGAATCCTCCATCGTCACTAGAACTCCGCCCAGGCTCAAGGCCTGCTTTCCAGCCTGACCTGGTTGTGGATTCCTCTCGTGGGCTTGATTCCTAGTTATGCCCAGTGGTTATTTAACATTAATCCCGTTTAAGGGCTAATCCCGTAAGGGCTTTGTCCCGTTGTGGGCTTATCCTGTTAATCAGGCTAACCCCGTGAAGGGCCGATCCTGTTATGGGCCAGATTATGTAACTGGGCCATGGTCAGAGTCCATGTTACCATCAATCATATAGTAATTGCCCTAAATAGAACTAAATGGATATTTAATTGCACAAAAATAACTAAAATCTAAATCATTGACTAATAAGATTAAACATTATTTTTCTATCCAAATACTTTTAAGGGTCTTAATTCATAAAAAATTGTTTTAATTCATAATAAAAACGTAAAAAATGATAAAATCGTAAGAAAATAAAAAAAATAAACTATTTATAAAATACAAGTTTTATTTTTTATAAAAAACATAAAAAATAATAAAAACATAAAAAAATTAAAAAAATAATGGATGCCTTTCCCACTCCCTCTACCACCTTCCATACCATCACCTCCGATCGGTGAAAAAATGTTATTTTATGTAAAAACAAATGTCATTTAATGTAAAAAATGACATTTTTTTGAAAATGCGAAGAAAATGGCATCGTTACTCTTGATTAATGCCAAAATTTTCACAGAAATTGCCATCAATGTGGCATTACTAATGCATGTAGGCATTTTTTCCGGAGATCGAAGCCGGTGGTGCTGGCGTGGCAGAGGTGGCGGCAAAGGCATGTATATTTTTTACTTTTTTATTTTTAAAGGTTAATTTTTTATTGAATTGATAATTTTTATTTTCTAATTTTTATTTTTTATTAATTTTAGTAAACATTTATTTTAGTCCTAAAAAATACAGGGGTATATTTGTCCAAAAACACATGATTAGTCCTATTTAGGGAATTTAAAACATGAGTCTTATTTGTGATTTTTATGCACGTTTTATTCATATTTAGGTAATTAATCCTACATCATATGGGGTATATACGGCAAATTATACGGTGCAACCGGCGCACCATGAGGATGATGCGCCCGGTTGCAAAAACGACGCAGCATCTGCCTTTCTTTTTTTTTTCTTTTGTTGTTAAAAATGATAATAACTTTTTTATTTTTGATCCGATTTTTATAAAATTTATATCAACATTTTTTATTTTTCATGATCTTTCAAATGAGACCAATATTGTGTATGTAATTTTAAGAAATTATCGAACTATTATATTAATGAGTATTGGATTATATGAAAAATCGAATCTGTTTGGGAGATGATAGGTTTGTAAAATAGAAGATCGAATCTGTTTGGGAGTGGATCAGTGGCCTCAGTTACATTTGATAATACATCGAGTTACATCTTTTTATGAGTGAGTTACATCTTTTTATAAGCAAGTTAAATCTTTTTATAAGCGAGTTACATCTTTTTATAAGCGAGTTACATCTTTTTATAAGCGAGTTACATATATATATACACACGAGTTGCATTTGACATGTCTGAACGCGACTTACGTATATTTACACGTAAAGTTACATATTTTTACACGTAAAGTTACATATTTATACACGCGAGTTACATATTTATACACACGAGTTGCATGTTACATGTCTGAATGCGAGTTACATATTTTTTTACGTAAAGTTACATATTATTACACGTAGAGATACATATTTATACACACGAGTTGCATTTGACCTGACTGAACGTGAGTTACATATTTTAACACTTAAAATTACATATTTTACACACAAATGTTAATATGTTAAAATTACATAGGCAATATTGGTCTCATTTGAAAGATAATGAAAAATAAAAAATGTTGATATAAATTTTATAAAAATCAGATCAAAAATAAAAAAGTTATTACCATTTTTAAAAAAAGAGAAAATAATATTCAATGGGTGCATGGTGAGCACCAAGCAACCGTTGCACGGTATACGCACTCGGTATATACTAATAATAATACAAATTATATTTAATGACAACTCTTAATCTTATGTACACGAAATTTGGGGTATAATACCTTTGATTGTAATATTTTCCCATAATCTTATGTACACTTGCCAAAGAAAGTGCATTAAACAATGAATGCACGCTGTTAATTATTACATTTGTGAGGCTTCAATATTTTGGGGATTATTTCCTATTTTACTCCATCAGTGATCAGGAAAATTGGAGGCCAAACATGTAGCAAATTTGCTATTTTATACTACATCCGTCCCTAAAAGGATTGCCAAGTTTGACCAGCACGTAGAATAATAAAGTAAAAACTGTGTGATAGAAATTTGTGCAGAGGAGAGAAAAATAACATGAACCACAAATTGATCGATTAAAAGGGAAAGTGACAAAATTTTTGGAACAACCAAAAAAAGAAAGTTGGCAAAATGATAAGGGACGGAGGGAGTAATACTTCGTATAAAGATAAAGGGGGTTGTTTGGCAATTGGTCGTTGGCCGTTAGCTGTTAGCTGATTGTGTTGGCTGATTAATGATAGCAGTTTCGGTTGTTTGTTTTGATTAGCTGATAGGATTAGCAGTTTGTCAAAAGATGTTTGGTTAAATGACTGCTTATAATCGATTGATAACTTGTTAAATGACTTTTAAGGGCATCAATTAATTATTTGTTAATATAATTAGTTCAACTACTTAAATTATTTTTATGATTTAAACACTAAAAATGTATCAACCCAAGTAATAATTATTTTAAACATTTTTTCACGAATTGATAAACTTAATTAAGAATAATGATATCCAGAACTTGAAACTTGTAAATGGTAAATTGTTTACAATTATTCTGTATAAATTATGATTAAGAATAAACTTTTAATAAATTTTCCCATCTATCCGGCTTGTTTTTTTATAGACCTTGAAACTTGTAAATTGTTCGTCTAGTCTATCTAACTTTTTGATATATCAGAATTGCCGACATCTCCAAGCTTGGCTTTCTCTGCTCCCAATTGTCCATCTCCTCCACTATATGCGTGGAGGCGACATGCGTGTCCAAGTGGAGAAGCTTGGTTGTGATGGATATGGGGGGTTGCAAGGGGCAGCGGAGGTCGCATGTAGTTGGGCGATGTGGCAGAAGGTGGCGGCGTAGCTTTCTCTGCTGCTCTCCTTTTTTTATTTTAGAGGAAGTAGTAGAAGTGAGGGTGTGACGCATCAAGAAGAGGAGGAGACCCTTGGGCAAAACAGAGATATGGATGAAATATTGGAACACACATTGTCTAAACGCTGAATTTATCGGTTTTTCCATTTTGACTGTTCCGGACAAAAAACCAAGTGAAAAAACAAACTAACCAATGGCTTGTTTATCTGGTCAAAAAACTAAATAGTATTCAAATCAGCCAAAAAATGGTTTATAGGCCGCTAACCAAACACCCCCAAGGAAATAATATAGCAAATTTGCTATTTTATACGAAGTATAATATAAAGATAAGGATATAATATAAAATTAAAGATAAAGATTTTTCATGGTAATAAGTTTTTTAAAAGGATTTTGGTAATAAGTTAAAGATAAAGATATAAATGAGATAATCCATTAATAATATAGGAGTATATACAAATAACTATTTAGAGAGAATTTCTTAAATAGGAGTAAAAATGCTTTGAAATTTCAAAATAGGAGTATGATGTTTTATATTCCCTGAATAAGTGTAAATTTCTGCCAAGTTTGGCATTATTAGGCTTTAAACATGACTTTTTTTTTTAAACTTGGCAGATTGCTCATATTTAAAGAATAAAAAACATGATACTCCTATTTTGGAATTTCAAAGTATTTTTACCCCTATTTAGGGCAATTTCTGAAGTATTGTTTATTGCTTATTATATACAGTATATGTATTGATTTTAATTAATAGGAAAAATTGACAAGAATAATCTCACCTTTCACTGGTCTTCTCATATTAATCCCACCTTTAAATAATCCCAAAATAATCTCACATTTGCACCTCATCTTCTTTCATTGGACCCTGACCATGTTTTTTACTCTATCTTTGAAAATAATACGGAGTATAAATAATCTCACATTTCACTTTTTAATCATATCCTTATAAATGTGAGATTATTTATATAAGATTTTTAAAAAAGGAAAAAAAATTGGTCAAGGTACAATGAAAGAAGATTGATGTGTAAAGGTGGTATTATTTTGGGATTATTTAAATGTGGGATTATTACTCCAAACATGAGATTATTCTCGCAGCCACCATACCACCGCAGCCACAGTATCTCCGATTCTCCGGCACCACTTCCTCTTTTCGATTTTCTTCTCTGAAATTCAATTCTTTGCAGGTGACTTTTGCTATTAATTAATTAAAACCCCTAATTTTAGCATGTCTGCATCTGCCGCCGTGAGAATTCATATTCCTGAGAAAATCTCCTCAGCTTCATACCCTTCTCAGAGAGGTAGCCGTATTCTTCATTTTGTCAAGTACCAAGGCCTGGGAAACGACTTCATTTTGGTAAATTCTATTCCTATAAGTCTATTTTTTGTTTGATGCTTAAATGTAGGGAAAATTACGTTTGTACACAGCCAATTTGTACACATCTGTAAATGCCCTATTTTGCCAGTATCATAGGCAATTCGTCTTCAAATATACGAGTATGTACAAGACGTGTACACCAAAAATTACTCTAAATGTAGAGCGAATGAATACAAACTTGTGCTTCCTGGAATAGGTAGATAATAGAGACTCCTCAGAACCGAAGGTGACCCCAGAGCAAATAGTGAAGCTCTGTGACAGGAACTTTGGTGTGGGTGCAGATGGAGTGATTCTGGCTATGCCAGCAGTGGATGGTGCTGATTATACCATGAGGATATTCAACTCTGATGGTACCGAAGATCAGGTCTGTTGCATTCTTCATGAATTTCCTCTGTAGTGGAATAATTCTTTTTTTTTTATTGTTTTATGGTGTTTCATAAATCATAATTTTGTCTTAACTTCAAGCAATGCCGTTAAGTTAGACTGAGAACGCATTTATATATATACATATGATTAGGCATGATGATGTAAAAGTTTATCCGGAAACAAACTTTGTGCTTTAGTAAAGGGGTAGGTCTGCGTACATCCGACCCCCTTACCCCACCATAGTGAGAGCCTTTGCGGCATTGGGGTAATGATGAAGAAGAAGAAAGAAGCTGTAAAAGTTTAAGTACAATTTCAACCTACAAGCATTTCAAATACTCCCCCTCATGTAGTGTCATATTTTTCAGAATAAAACACTACAATAGACTGTTTTAAGCAATGAAAGAGCTTTTACATACTCCACGAGTCCAACTTTGAGCTTTTACATATTCAAGCCATCATCTTATCATTCTTTAAGCTCCAGTTTATACAATTCCTCATTTCCCCTTCCATTCCAACTTGAGTCTCATATTTGGGATATGCCTTCCATTTAGGAGTATCCCAAATTGATCTCGTTTCCTTTTTTGGCAAATTATTCTAGAAGAAAGCTCACCCTCATTATTTCCCCCAGCCTTACTGCCATAGTGTCATGTGTTCCGGTCTTCCCTCTTATTGCCAGATTTGTCGTTGTTCATATCTCCGGGTATCGACCATGGATGACAGTGGTTGCAGAGAGGCAGAGGAGTCTCGGCAGTAACGGATGGGAGCGGTTTGATATGTTTGGTAGTTAAACTTTTTGGGAATCTTTTTTATGTGAAGAATTTTTTATGTATTTCCAGATACCCATAGCAGTATTCTATGATGGGCAGTATTTTTTTCAGAAGAGAATTTTTCCTGAAGAATAAGGGACAGTTTGGTTATGTGCGGGTGTGTGGTACTAAAAGAATAGAGAAATTTTAAAATCCTAACATGTTGGGTATTTGGAAAGAATTTGTTCATTATTATTCTAAATTGATTGCAGAGAGTAAACTGCACACTGTGGTTGCAGGGAGATGTTTCGTTTATGCCCTTGTTTATTACTCTAATTTGGGATATAATTCCAAACAAGGGTAATTTGGGACATTTGACACTTAAAATTTGTACCAAGAAGTATAGGACTATCAATTTGGGACGGGTGGAATAATCGATCATATTTGACCACAGCTTTTTCAAGACAACATTTTAAGATATTTATAGGACTATCAACATTTTAAGTTTCTGAATATTTATATTTTAAATTTTAAATATTAATAATTTAATACAAATGTATGTGTGTCTCTGTTATGAGGAAAAGTTAGTTTGACCAACGGTCAACCACTGTATTAATCCTCCTTTAAGGTACTGAAGGAGAACTTATATATACTCCCCGTATCAGAGGCAGTATCTTCAAAATTTCAAGTTTCTTAAATTAAGAGGTTCAGTGGTTTACTGCTTTTCAGACACCCTATTAGACGCACTTAAAGTTAAGTGGTATGCTCATTTTCTAGATGTGTGGTAATGGTGTGCGGTGCTTTGCCATATATGTAGCTGAGCTTGAGAATCTAAAGGGGAGGCAAAGGTACGTTAATGTTAGACATATTTTCTCTATCCATAAATGATAAGATCACAGGAGTAAATGTGTCATAAAATGCTTTAGAAAATGATAAACATTCTAAAATTTACCTGATATCTTTTCACTTCTATAAACAGAGGTAATTTATAAAATCCTGTTATTCCTTGACCAATTACTTGATCATAACCTGTTTATATCACTAGCTCTTTTATTTATTTTTGTGTTCTTATAGTTGGTTCTAGTCCAATAACAAATCAGGTACTTTTATGTTGATCTTGAACGAATTAGCACCTTTTTGGTGCCAACCATTTTTTTTTTGCAAAAATACTATTTGAGCAATCAAGTGTAGAAGTAGTGTAGAACACACAAACAAGTTTTCTATTTATACAGACAAGTGTAGATGTGTTGTATGCATTGGTTGTACACCAAACATGATTGTTTTGTTTCTGTTAAAATGGTTCAGGTTTACAGTTCATACAGGAGCGGGTCTAATTGTTCCTGAAATCCACGATGATGGGAAGGTATAAAAGCACATGAAATATATCCTACTAATTTATCCGTACTGTATGTTTACAACCTGTAGTGATGTGGTGATCTGAAATATCAGGTTATTACAGTTGATATGGGTGAACCAATTCTCAAAGCATCAGATGTACCAACCAAGCTCCCGGCAAATTCATGTGAATCGGTTATCAAGTCAGAGCTTAGTGTCAATGGATTGAGTTGGATTGTAACGTGTGTTAGCATGGGAAATCCTCATTGTGTAACTTTCAGAACTAAAGAAGCCGAGGTTCATTTTATAATGTTGACTAAATTGACATTTATGCGTGTCCCCGACCCCCGCTCTGTTTCTCTTTAATCAATAACATAACTGTTTCTTCTTTCCTCGATATTCATTAAAAAAATCACTTGCCTTTTTTCTTTTGCTGTGAACAGAAGCTGCAAGTTGATGAACTAAATTTAGCTGAAATTGGTCCAAAATTTGAGTATCATGATATGTTCCCAGCAAGGGTCATAGCAGGTTTATTTCTTCCTAATTAATGGCTTCATTCCATGGCTTACCTTTTTATAGGGAATCCCTTCACTTAGCTCATATTGGGTGAAATACAAATGTTCTTCTCGAAATGAACATTTTAAAATTTGAAAGATAACTTCAAATATGAAATATCAAAATCATTGGTCGACCTATTACAACGGTCTTTTAACATATTAAAGACAGCATCTAACCCATCAAGTAAGTATATTTGATGGGGGTTAACTACACTTTTTGATGAATTAAATGACTTTGTTTTTGGTTGTCTCGTTTACATTATATCTTCAAATAGTTTTGATATGGGCACTATTTAGTTGAACTCAACTAACTTTTTAGTTTCTTAGGTTATACTTATGTGTATCATTTTTACTTTTCATGAACTCATTTTACACTTTATTTCTTCTAAAAGTTTATACTCCATATGATACGGTAACAGTTATCTTTTTTATTTTACTAAACCTACACCAAACCTCAATGTATGTTTTGAGATAATTCTAGGTTCTTCTAGGTTCAATTATAGGGTTCACCTCGTTTGCTTACTACTCTATATAATAAGAACCCAGGTTTTAAAATAACACGGATTTACTTAAGACAACCTCCCAAAACCTCCAGAGACCTAGTTTTAGGGAACGTATAACGGTCTAAGTTACAAGTGTTCGGAGGTTTTACCTTGATAATTTACTGAATAACATTTTCATAAATGCACTCGTGTTAGGTTTTCTTGATTTCTACTAGACTTGAGTTTGCATAAGTTGATGATGTTAACTTAAGTTGCATTATATCGAAGAGACTGAAAATGAATCTTACATTTTGAGGGGGGTATTATTTAAAGTTATTGACCTTCAAGGTTTTAATGGGATGGGTGTATAGTCACGAATAATCTGTGTTTGAGAATGTGATGCAGAGTTTGTGGAAGTTCTCTCTCCTTCGCATTTAAAAATGCGTGTTTGGGAACGTGGTGCTGGTGAGTCACGTAGCAGACAAACATATGTTATTTTTCTGTTGATTTAGATGTTGGCATATGTATATGTATAAGGAAACATATCGAAATTCCTAAATGCATATCGTAGGAGCAACTCTGGCATGTGGGACTGGAGCTTGTGCAACAGTGGTTGCAGCTGTTCTTGAGGGTCGTGCCGGGAGGGTAAGTGTTTTTAACATACTCCCAAGACCTATTCTACTTAGGCTGGTTTAGTTCAGGGATTTCACTGGGGAAGAAGTCTAGATGGTTAAAAATAAAGTAAAGATAAACAACTATGTATGATCAAGGTTTATCAAGGCGGTTTGTTCGTAAGAGACGAGGCGTATTGAGGCGTAAGTCTCAAAATATAGACATATAAAACATAAAATAGTTAAACGAGTAACAAGCAATTAAAGAAGTAAAGGATATATCCATAATTATAAGTCCAAAAAGTGTGAAACACAAACACATATGAGTGATTACCAGTAAGTCATTAGAATTCAAACACACAAACAGAAAGAGTGTTTGCATCTTTTAGTCCTCCGACTATTACGTCATTGACACTTTTGATGCTCGACTTTGATATTTTTCACTTTTAGTCTCGACTATTGCGTTAGAGACACTTTTGGTACCTATCTTTGAAAATGTCCTATTTAGTCATCTGACTTTTACAAAAGCGACATTTTTGTGTCCTTCACTTATTGTGTCAAAATCATAGTGGAAGGACTACAAATGTCAATGTGATAATACTCAGGGGACTAAACGTGGAAAACTGTGAAGTCAAGGACTAAAAGTGTCCCTAGCACAATAGTCGAGGACCAAAATTGGGAAAATTAAAAGTCGAGTACCAAAAGTGTCAATGACACAATAGTCGAGGGACATAAAATGGCAAAAACTCCAAACATAAACATCAAACACAAAAAGACATATCACACGCAGAAACATCACACACAAACTGAAAGATGAGTAGATGAGTAGAATGTATACGTTAGGGACATGGGATTTAAATGAATAAAAGATGTGTTAGGGTTTAAATGAAATAAGACTTGTTAGGGTATAAATGAAATAAGACTTGTTAGGGTTTAATGTGGCCACATATTTAATTAATGGACTTCTATTTAAAAAGTACTCTGGGCCTTTCATTAAATGAAATATCTTGGGCCTTTTTTAAGTTACTGCACATTAAAAACAGAGAAACAAAGGAAAAACGCCTCAAAAAATGCCTCAGGCTGCGCCTCAAGGCATACTCCTCAACTTTGAGGAGGCTCATCTTAACTTGCGAAAAAACCCAAGCATTGATACCCAATTTGTACACCTCACCTTGAGGCGCGCCTCAAAACCCGCCTCTTAAGCGTCTTTTTAAACCATGTGTATGATGTAACTAGTGATACAGACATACAGTTATTTATAGTCTAAAACTAACAATTAGAGTGACATTAGCAACATGAAAGTCAAATCTCCCCACCCCCTTTCTATACTTCAAGCCAAACAAGCTCTAGGAATCCGACACGTGTCCCCATTCTCATTCTAAAGATTTACATCCATCATATGATTCTCCTCTTGATTTACGATTGCTGCAAACATGTATAACAGAAATGTGTGGTTGATTTACCTGGGGGTCCATTGGAGATCGAATGGAGGGAGGAAGACAATCACGTATACATGACTGGCCCTGCGGAAGTGGTGTTCTACGGATCAGTCTCTGTCTAATGTGTTTGTTCACTATCAGAGGCAGGTACCTGTGGACAAGAGAATTCATTCCAATTGTTTGCCAGAAGTTGATTTGCGAATGTGAGGGAGTCAATGAGCATTTGCAAGCAGTATTTTTATGAACTTAATTTATTAGTCATTAAATATAGGGATTGGAGTTTGCATTTCATTTTTTTCATCTGAACCTATGTTTGAATCGTTCTCTTAAATCATTAATATTTGTATCCCAAATTCAGATACTTCACCTTATTTTTCCTATGCACTGGAGCTTTCACCCATTATTAACAATTTTTTTAATGCTCAATAGAGAAAGGGGAGAATAAAATCTTTCTACATGAATGAATAGTGATATAAGGGAACAGGTAGAGTATACGTCTATACAATATTATTTGTTTTCAATTTTTGAACTTTCTTTGTTTCTTTGTCTGATTTTTACATATGAACTCTTCATTCTCGAAATTTAAAACGCGAAAATACTAATTTAGAATTTTGAACATAGATTCAAAATTGATTTTTTATCATTGAAATACAAAAAAATATAACCAAGCAATTAAAGTTTTACAATTTTTGTAACAAAATGTTATAAGTCAGAGAGAGCAAAATGAAATACAAAATGCATGAACTGTGAGGGGAATGAACAAAATATTGATGTTCTGGTAATTGTGATAGCAGCACTTTATAGTTTATACTGGGTTCCTAAATCAGAGAGATATGCATGTGATGCAAATTTAGTTTCTCGCCAAGTAGCAATGTGACAACTTGAATTTGTTGAGAATGTTGAAGTCTTGACAATAAGTGGTGGTTTGCCTAAAGCCTGTATTAGAACTCAAGGCACACTGAGTCGAATAGGGGCGACTTCTAGTAAAAAGGGACATATTGAGTTATAAATGGGTTCTTGAAAGGTTAGGACTAGTCCGGTAAACTGAATGCAATTAGTGTATATATACAAAGTACATTAAAATGATAAATATATGACTAAAATAAAAGCAATTGACCAAAATGTGATTTCTAACCATAGTGGTTATAGTGCTATTCTCATAGTGACCGTGCTTTACACAAAAGTTCTCTTGATATATATTCAAACATATATCAATACTTAAGTGATGAACGTACAAGTAATAATATTGTATTAAGTAATTTATATTTTATTATACTGCGTATCTTATAAAATGTTTACATATATTGTATTAAGTAATTTATATTTTATTATACTACGTATCTTATAAAATGTTTACATATACGGAGTATTTCATTATTAGTTTATTACCTCATGCAGTGATATTTAATGTAGTTTTATCAAAAGTTAATGTTGAATTCAACAAGTATAGTTTTTATACCTAAAAGATTACTAATTTGATGTACTCATTCCTAAACTTAATACATAACACATTTGCCTTTTTATTTTTGACCAATATTAATATCGATATATCTATAAATATTTGAGTAAAAGTAGATAACCAATATAGTTATCCGTTTTTTTCATCCTTTGATTACGTTTAATTAATTCTGGAAATGTAAACTTTGAGATTTTAGGAAACCCCTAAAACTCCTAAAAGTAGTGTCAATTGAACAAACTAGTAATCCACTTTCAAATTCATATGAATTTTTGTAAGATTTATCGATATTCCTAATTTAATTTTAAAAAAAATAATCTGCTATAGACGTATTTATATGATATTTTTTTAGTACATGTACTTAAGTGATTGATTGAAAATGATAGATTGAAAATGATAGAAAGACTTATTTGATCATTTTTCCTATATTTTCGAAGGAAAGAAAGTATACAAATATAAGAGCATCTTCAATGTTAAAATGTGCACGGTGCACATGTAGAATGAGAGATGATCCCATAAATATTAATAAATAAATTATTTATCTCCTTATTTGAATGATTTTATTCAATTTTGGTAAAGTTTTTTTAACAATGTCAACTATAATGTCTACATATACACGGTCTCCTTGACATTGCAGAGAAAAACCTACCAAAATTGTATAAAATCATTTAAATAAGGAAAGATATAATTTATTTACTATTACGTAATTGATTATCTCACACACATGTCCACCGTGCATATTGTAGTACTTAAGATGCTCCGATCAATATGGGTGAAGAAACAGAAACCATCCCATAAATTACTAAGTCATTTAATAAAAATTACATAGTAAAATTTATGTATATTAAACCATCGATATACTACGTATATTAGACTCCATTATTTTATGATCACCGCCTATTTTGTTAATTCATCTGCATTTCTTAACCGGCCCAAATTTACAGCTTTTTCTCCAAACAAACTGACTCAACACAATTTTATTAGTGTAAAAAATTGCTCAAAACTAAGGATGTCAAAAAAACCGGCCCACAATGACCCGTCCTGGCCCGAGACATTTGGGGCGGGTCTGGCCCGCCCCGTCTTGCAAATGGGGCGGGTCTGGCTCACCTCGTCTTGCAAATGGGACGGGTCCGCCACACCCCGACCCGCTCAATATATAAGTATATACATATATGTGTATATATATTTATTAGATTGAGATGAATGACGGATTATCAATGTCTTCTTTATATATAGCATTTAAATACATATGTTCAAGTACTACCTCTGTCCCAATTTACTTAGCCAAATTTGACTTTTCAAGTCAACAACCTCTAACTTTGACCAATTATTTAAGCTAATATTTTTATGCAAAATTTAATAATTTTATACTTTTATGATAGTGTTTTTAACAAAGAAATTTTCATATCATTTTCATATTATAATTACTTTCTCGAAAGAATGACCGGACTATCATTAATAGAGTTGTGAAGGACAAAAATATCACCATTATTTGTTTGGACATAAAACTGGCCCGTCACCCCTCCTACGCCTCTCAACCGCGTACCTGCTCTCTTCCTCATCTACGCGGCTCTCACCTGCGCATATCTCCATCAACCGAGCTCACCTCCATCAGACTTTGACACTGACGCCGCCGACTTCGACGCCGACGCCACCTTCATCAACCGATCTCACCTGCAAATCACTTCTTCTACTCCTTCTGTCCGAACGTGGCGTACCTGGATTTTGCGGCAGTGTGGTTGGGGCTTCGAAGCAGCAGCGTTTTGAACTAACTAAAGGTGGCTAGGTCAGCGATTGGAGCTTCGAGGAAGTGGCAATTTCATCTCGCTGCTCTGGCGCCGCCACTTCAAGTATGCGGAAGCTGTGGACGGAAAAGGGGCTAGTCAGGAGCTAGATTTGGGGCTATTTAGGTCCGGTTTGGGCTAGATCTGGGCTGGTTGGAGGCTCAGTACAAGGGAGGGGTATTGGGGTTGCCAGGTTGGGGTGCTGAGGTGTGGCCTAGGGAGGGGAAGGCCTATGTACGGGAAGATGGGTGTGCCGAGGAAGGGCTATGTACGGGTAGATGGGTGTGCCGAGGGTGGCTGTGCCGACATCACTGTGGCGACGGTGGCTGGGGACGGGCTGGGCGAGCAGTGGCAGCTTGCGCTAGGTAGCGGAATGGCCGTACTGTTGTGTTGGCAGCGTGGTCATATTGATGAGGTGGTGGCGGTTTGAGTTACTTCCAGCAGGCAGCGTCACTGGACTACAGGGGTGTCACTGCGGCGGCGTCACTGTGGTTGGCAGGTGATCGGCGGCGACAGTGACACATACGATGGCGATAGTGACACCCGACAGTGACATGAAAATGAGACAGTGACATTAACATTTGAATGTCACTTTGTATTAGTCACATTTTTGTCAAAATATAAAAGTGATCACTTTTTTGGAAATCGGTATTAAATTAGTAATATTGAGGGAAACTCCCTACATTCTCTATATAAACATATAATTGGTCAAAGTTAGACGCCGTTGACTTGAAAAGTCAAGTTTGACTAAGTAAATTGGGACGGAGGGAGTATTAATATACTACTTCTTTCCCATAAAATTCTTCACACTTTGACTTGACACGGAGATTAAGAAAGTGGAATAAAGTGGAAATGTATGGTTGTGGTTGTGTAAGAAAAAGGTAAACCACACAAATTGTCCAAAAATGATAAGTGGGAAGAATTTTTTGGGACAGCCCAAAAAGGAAAGTGAGAAGTATTTTATGGGACGGGGAGAGTAATTAAATAGATTAACTATTCAAGTCTAAGTGATATTTCCTTAACTTTTGAAATTTCTAGCGTATCGTGAATTTGATTGAATATATTAATTTTTAATAATTATTTAAAGATAAACTTTATGTAGATTCAATTGGTAACAACTTCTAACAGAGAAAAATACATACTAGCTAATTAGGTCACGGGGCGAAGCAAACCCACCCCATCAATTCAGGGGGGCGGGTCTGTGTCTTGCGGTAGCGGCCCTGACCCATTGTCATGCCATACTCAAAATTTGAGGATTTCACCGATGAAGTCGATTCATGTTCTGCATACTTTCGCCACGTTGAAGCTGACTCATCTTCTGCCACCCTCTGCACACTTAATTTTCGGTTCCACCATGAGTTTTACTCATCAGATCTTATTTTAACACCACACTCAAAAAATGTTGTAAGTTTTACTCATTTAATGCATTTTCTAATTTTTTCTAATTATCGGATGGTTTCATGTTGGAGAATCCACCGAATCTTTTTTGAGAAATTATCATATCGTATCCGAATCAACTTCCGCCGATTTCTCAATCACAATCTCGTCTTTCAATAATATGTTGTCATATACGGAGTACTTCGTATCTAGTCTAGCTTTTTATTACATTGTAAAATACTCACATATTTGACCGTAATTATATCTTAATTATATTAGTAAAAAAATATCAAAAAATAGAAATTTGTAATGAGATGAATTGAACAATTTTTTTTTAAAAAAGTAATTTTCATAAAATAATAGCGTAAAATGTAGTCAAAGTAGAGCATGTGAGTAGTGTAAAATTCAACATGTTGCGGAACGGAGGATAATACGTGGTATTTTGTTATTTTAACATTCTTAACTATCATACTTTGTACTTTCAAAAAAACCAATAAACTGTAAGTTTTTCATATTTTAATGAATTAAAGAAACTTATTACTCCCTCCGTCCCTAATAACTTTGCCAAGTTTGACCGGCAGTGGATTAATAAAGTAAAAACCGTGTGATTGAGGTTTGTGAAGAGGAGAGAGAACTAACTGAAACCACAAATTCTTTACTTAAAAGAGAAAGTGGCAAAATTAATGGAACATAAAAAAAGGAAAGTTGTCAAAGTTATAAGGGACCGAGGGAGTATTTAGGAAGAAAACGTATGACTCAATCCCAACTGTTCTGAGTATTTCCGAGATGAAAACAGGTTCATCATCTGGGAATTTTACATCTAAATTTCATCATCCCACAATGGCATTTTATGTATTTATTTTTATTTTGTATTTTTTCTTATTTTGAAATATGTATTCTCAATAGTTTAAATGGTTATCAATTGCACATATCAATTGCACTCAAAATGAAATTATCTGAAACATTTCAGAAATTGTTTTCTATCTTCCATCGAGCTCTATTCTAGTTGTAATGATAGCTTTCACTAAAATTAAAAAAACATCATATTTTAAAATTTTAAAAAGAAAGGAATTTAAAATATTTTAAAGAAATTAATTTATAATACATTAATTAATAAAGTATAGTCAAAGTAAAATACGTGAATAGTATAAAAAATTCAATGTTGCAATTAACAGAGATTAAAAGAGAAGGAGGTAGTATTTAAATATTTAGGAAAGACATACTTAGCTTAGCTAGACTTGCTTGGTCAATGAGTTGACTAATGGCAATCTGTATCGTGAAGCTAGGAGGAGAAAACACTGTTGAGCAGCGGCGTTTGGCATTCGAAGAACTGGCGGAGTTTGAAAAATTCAACATTCGATCGGAAGAGTTGTAAGTCTCAGTGAGAGCACAGAATAGAGTCATCGGCCGATGTCGGCTCCGGCGGTTGCTCTGTCAGGAAGAGAGAGGTGCGTCGATCAGTCTTCAGGATTTGACCGAAGGTCACTGTTTCAGAATTGAATTCGGAGAGACTTGTAGCAAGCAGAGAGAAGACGACGCCGGGATGAGGCATTAACCGGCACCCCTCTGTCGAAAGGCCGCCATGGTATTGATCCTAGCGGATCCGACATCGGAGCTGATGGATGCAAACATTTCCGGCTCTCTTCCGGTAGATCTAGTTCTCCGACGGTGGATTGTTGCTCATGCTACCACTCTGTCCGTCTGAGGAGCTCACCTGAGAGAGGGGGCTTGACATATTTCAGCTGAGAAGGAATGAAAATGATAAGATGTGTTGCTTGGCTTTTCCTTGCAAATAGATCTTCCCAAAAAAAGGTAATAGACTCAAATAAGACTAGAACATAGTCATTAGACCTAAATAGAAGTGACGAGAAGCTTATAGAGTTATATCAGAGTTTTTTCCGGAATAATGCAAATTAAATAAATAATTTATGAAATATTACCGGTTTAAAAATAATTCTCGAAATACTGTTGGGGTTAACCATGGTTAAGCAAAACCACCACTCCCAGTGGTGGCTCTTCACCGTGCTATACAAAAGCCGCCACTTGAAATGGCGGTTCTTCTATACGTATTCAAAAGAAGTGGCGGCTCATTTGCAAATAAAATTCCGCCTTCTCCTTCCCGAACGCAGAACGACGCAACAACCGAACAAGGAGCTCTGCTGCTGCGCGATTTCAGTCCGATTTCCGGCCGGCCAACGTCCTAAAGAAGCTCAAATCAAAGGGAAAAAACACACCGTGTACCTGAAGTCGTTTGTGCTCAATTGTATCCACTTTCAATCATTTTATTCAAGGTATTTCACCATTTTTCCTAAAGCTAGGGTTTTTTCAATTTTAGTTTGAAATTGCTTGTTTTTTTGGATTATTTTATTTGTATTTGATGTTATGAAATATATAAGTTGTTAATGTTGTTATTATACTTGCATTTATCTAATTTGTAGAATTTGAATTATTTTTTGTGTTGGTTGGATTGAGTTTAATAGATCCATCGTTTGAGAAAGAGTAATGTATGTATCTGGTTTTTTTAATAAATGTAATCATAAAAATGATATCTATGATTTAATACAATTTGTTTGAATTAAAATACTTATATTTGAATTTTCAACTTGCGGCTTCAGTCATAATTTTTTTGGAATGATTTTTGATAGAATATGTCTCCAAACTTTCCCATTGTTCGTCACTGGGGAGGAAATATAATCGAGGAGTCGAACGCAATTCATTATGAAGGGGGGGTCAGAAGATAATTGTTGTGTCCGGTGGGGCGGGTGTGGCTGAGTTAATGAATAAAATTTATACCGCCACATCCATCAATCGTATGAACAAGTTAGATTTGAAAGTTAAATATCCCATTCATGGTGGATCATACATGTTGATGCCTCTTGCTGACGACGAAGCTGTTTCGGGGATGTGGACCTTGATCACGAATCTTGTTGTGCATACCATGGAGATATATGTTGAAGAAGCGATTATGTTGCCCATACAACCTGACAACCTGTCATTCTCTTACCCATTCACAAATGTTCAAGTTGTGATGAATATGGTTGCACAGGAGAATGGAAGATACGTGAACAATGATGCAACGTTTATGGATTCACAGCACATCGACGACGATGCAGATGAAAATGTGAATCATGACACACTTATAGATCCAGATGAAGATGTGGGTGTTCTCGTAAGTGGCAATGCTCCATCTAGCCACTACACTAAAGTTGATGACCTCCCAACGGGATTTGATGAATCATGGAGGGGTTGTACAACTTACAGTCGCTTCTCTGCATATGGTGAATTCGAGGTTGGGCAAGAGTTTGATGATAAGAAACAACTGATTAACATGATTAAAGTGTACTCTGTAAAGAGGAATCAATTTTTCTCAGTTGTAGAGTCTGACAAACACAAATGGGTGGCAGAGTGTAAGCGCAAAAAAGAATGTGGTTGCACTTGGCGGATCCGGGCTACAAAGAAACATGCGGGGCTAGATATGTTCGAAGTTGTTCGTTATGCAGGTCCTCATATACCTACTTGTCTAGGTAACGTCGATAACAATGACCATGTTGGTATCACATCTCAGTTCATAGCCCGTGAAATTATTGATCTTCTTCATACTGATCCATCACTAAAAGTTCACACTATTAGTGAGCTTATGAAGGAAAAGTACGGGTATGTATCTCCGTACAAGCGAAGTTGGTTGGCTAAGCAAAAAGCTATCGCTGAAATATTTGAAGATTGGGAAGCATCGTATTCTGCTTTGCCCCATTTCATGTTGGCATTACAGCATTCCAATCCAGGGACGGTTACGTTGTGCATTGGTACCCACCTCTTTCAGGTACCAATGAGTTATTAATATCTTTTATTGTATCATATTACATTCCATTTTAAATTCGTCCCACTAATTTTCTCCGTCTTTCAGGTACCACTAGCTTTGTGCGGTTTCAAAGAGTTTTTTTGGGCATTTAACCCATCCATTAAAGGCTTTAAGCATTGTCGTCCCTTACTGATAATTGATGGAACGCACTTATATGGGAAGTATAAAGGTACGTTGTTGGTGGCAATGGGTAGTGATGCTAATAATCAACTTTTCCCTTTGGTGTTCGCTATTTGTGAATAAGAGAATGGAGGGAGTTGGTCGTGGTTTATGGGATGCATACATTATTTTATCACACTCAGAGAATTGTGTGTTATTTCAGATCTACATGCTGGAATTCAGAAGGCACTTAATGAAGTAGGTAATGGATGGGAGGAGCCAGATTCACGACATAGGCTTTGCATACGGCATGTGGCTTATAATCTACATACTTAGTTTTAATATGTTCACTTGAAAAAAGTGTTCATTTGGACAGTAAGTCAACGTCAAAAGAAGAAATTTGATGGTGGATTTAACAGGATTGGCGAAATGCAGGCAGGAGCACGAGAATATCTAGCGAACATTGGTTTGGAGAAGTGGTCTTTACACCACGACGGGGGGTACAGGTATGGCACCACAACAACGAACATGGCTGAAGTATTCAATAGCGTCATGAAAAGTGCATGATACCTTCCTATAACCGTCTTAGTTGAGTTATCATTCTATCATGTGAATGCCTATTTTGTGGAAAGAAGAGAAACTAGTAAGAGAAGGTTAGCAGAAAGGCATCGCTACTGCCAGCAAGTGACTGAACTGATTGAAAGAAATACGGAAAAGGCAAAGCATCACAAGGTCACAACATTTGACATATGCCGTTGGTTTATACCAAGTGGAGACGGGTCGTGGTGGTCGAACTGTGGGGAAGGGTGGTACAAAACAAACGGTGAATTTGCACTGTCGCCATTGCACATGTCAGAAGCTGAATATTTATAAGATTCCTTGCTCACATATCTTAGCGGTATGCAGAGATCGTAGTTTGTCCTATGATGCTTTTGTTTATACGTTTTTCTCATCAGCGGAGTACGCGACTTCTTATAAAAGAGTATTCAAGCCCATACCGGATATAGCTTATAGACCTACTTACACTGGACCACGAGTTGTGCATGACCCGTCAATGATTCGCGCTAAAGGTCATCTGAAGGCTAAACGGTTGAGAAATGAAATGAATGAAGGTCCTAGAGGTACTGTAAGATGCGGTTTATGCAAGCAAACATGGTATAACAGGATGACATGTGCTGAAAGATCGCAAGGACACGTAGGGAGTTCCACTGGGTAATGATGTTCTTTTATTCACAAATGCATTAACAACATTAAAAAATAAATAAATTTAAATGCATTTAATATTAATAAAAAATAAAAGAACTAATACATATGTTACTATTACAGCGCCGATGCAGGTGTCAGTGGATCCCACACTGATTGATCCTTCAGTCCTGACATTGCAGGCCACGCACCGGAGCGAGGATGTGTGGCGTGGCTTGGATGTTCAGGTAGATAGGTGTCGTGAGCACCTACGCACTATATTCCACATGCAGGTGGATGATAGGATTCTACATTACGTTCGATTAGCCGGGTTTTACGGTGTTCACGGATTAGTTTCGACTCTGCATATAGATAGAGCATTACTTACCGCTCTACTTGAGCGTTGGAGACAAGAGACTCACACTTTCCATTTACCGGTGGGTGAGGTCACTATCACTTAGGGAGATGTGGTTGTATTGGCAGGTCTACCCATCGAGTGCCGGGCAGTTGGGACTGGGTGTAGAGTGTGGGTTGATTTGGTACACAGATTGTTGGGAGTACGGCCACATGTTGGGACAGATATTCGGGGGTCCGCCTTGAGGATGGCTTGGTTGAGACAACCTTTTACTGATTTGCCTGTTGATGCTGATGACGTTGTTGTGAAGCAGTACGCTAGAGCCTACATTTTGATGCTTATGGGAGCCTCCACATTTGCGGACAAGAGCTATAATGAGGTGCAGGTCTTGTATTTACCCATTTCAGAGACTTTTGATGTAGCAGTGCTTTATAGCTGGGGTAGTGCGACTTTAGCATACCTATATCGGCAGTTATGTCGAGGTTGGCATTGTACAGTGGAGAGATGGGTGGTTTTTTATTGCTCATACAGCTATGGTCATGGGAGGACATTCATATCGGAAAACCTGTCATACTGCGATATCATGGAGTAGATGGTGGTCCTCTTGATGATGCTATGGATCAGCAGGATGCATCTGTACTTGGGCCACATCATGTCTGTGGTGAGGTCCCTTTGGATCATAGGTACGTTTATGATTTTTCTTTTTAAAATTTATGTATGACGTACGTGAATCCCTTTTATATTCTTATGCATTACTGTGTGTCAGATGGCTATTTGCTCACGTCACACGCATGTCATCCGCCGCTGGATTATGGTACTACCAAGATGCTTTAGATCGCATGTGTGATGACCAGGTATATCTTGTATATCATTAGATGTAAGTACTTTGTTTTACGTTTTTATAAACTATGATGTAACACTGTTTTGTTTTATAGATGACGTGGATGTCGTACACTCATGAGATTCTTGGATTGTTGCCTCCTGTTGGCCGAGAGCACACTGAGATATGGCGAGCATGTGTGTCCTTGATATGTTTGATGTAGTGGAGCATCACTTTCCTGATCACGTACTACGATAGTTCGGGTTGCAGCAGGATTCCTGAACCTTGCGATACATCTGTGGACTTACACAAGATTGACAGACGAGGGAAGCACACTGAAGATTATGGGATGCGTCATATTCAGTATATCACTATGTGGGATGAGAGAGTGGTGTATATAGTGCACAGGATCCCATCCTTAGTCCCTATAGCCTCTGCAGATTACATGAGATGGTATTACACCATCACACGAGTGTTCATCTCTCCCAGATTTCGTCTACCTACTGATCATTACCAGCCTAGCTCGGTCACTCTTCATATGACGGTAAACAATAGTCACTAAAATAATTTTATTTATTTATTCATTTGTTTTTCACTAATAACCATGTTTGTATTACAGACACGGGCTTTGCGTAGCATCCATGAACGAACGACTGTTGTACTTGATGAGGCAGTAGATGTACAGGGATACCATGAGGCTTGTTCGGGCATTCTTGCTCTGTGAGCTGATGTATTGGGCCGAGTAGATTATGGATATATGGCCGACTCTCAGTATTCCACCGCATCCACGACAGGGTCTTCTCAGGCAATCCGACGTGATAGAGTTGTTCTTCGGCCTCGTAACCAGCGCAAGCGCCCCCGAGCACAGCCACAGCGACATGAACTTCATGATGGTGATGATCACGTTGACTTATGATCTTTGTATTTGTATTATTGTGTGAGAGTTGTAACATGCACTGGCAGATCGAATCATTTTGTGAAACACCGTATTTATTATAACTTTTATGTCTTATTTCAAGTATCGTGATGCAATGAGTTTCATTGATTCGTTTTGTGTTTCAGATGTATTTTGTCTTAGTAAATCATATGTTTGGTTGTTTGTTTGAGTAGAATGGACTGTGATAAGCAGATTTTCTGGTAACTACAGATTCATTTGTGTAATTAATAGTTCAGCAGCTTGCTTAACACAAGAGCCGCCACTTGAAGTGGCAGCTTTTGTATACGATAGAAGAACCGCCACTTCAAGTGGCGGCTTTTGTATAGCACGATGAAGAGCCGCCACTTAGAGTGTAAACAAGATTGAAACTCCCTCCATAAAGTTTCAAACTCGAAACCTCCTGTATGGGAGAGAGTCGACGACCAGTTAAGCTGGACCGCTTCCTCGAGCTTCAGGTATTAAAAAAATTATCTTGATTATTCACAAATATGAACAAAAAAATTCCTAAATAAGAGTAATAATAATGTGATATTTCAAAATAGAAGTACTATGTTTTTCGTAATTAGGAATAGTTACTTATAGGGGAAAATAATTTAAATACCTTAAACTTTAATGAAGTGTGAGATAAATATCTCAAACTTGCATATGTATTATATATACCCGAACATTATATAAAAAGTTACTCTCGCACCATTATTGTATGTTTTTAACAAACTCAAATTTATTGGAATAATTACATATATAATTTAAAATACTCTAAACTTTGTTAGAATGCAGTTAAAGTTCTAAAATTTCATTTGTGAAATAAATAATATTACATGTTTTATTTAATTTTAATCGCATCCTCATAAATGTTTTGTGTATTTTTAGTTATGTACTTAACACCATAAAATTGCATGTGTGAAAAAACATATGATCATGGTACTAATATAACTTGTTATATAAAGTTTGGTGTATATATATTACATGTGCAAGTTTGAGGTGCTTATCTCACATCTCTTTAAAGGTCGAAATATTAAGTTTATTTTCCCCTTACTTATATTTTTGAAAAAACTGATATTTCCCGATCATATTATATAACTTTAGAAAGCGTATAATAATTACACATCACAACATGTTGGGTAAATATTGTTTTAATGTTGCAGAAACAATAACATCAGAATGAATAATTATTTAAGTAGGCAAGTTACAATTTCTGATGTGTTGTCGAGAAAATCTCAACAATTTGAAAACAAACAAAACTCTGTAACATGAATCACTTATGTTTAAAATAAATTTATACTTCATTTTTCTCGTTGGTAAAGTAACTTTAATTTGTCAATGAAATTAGTATCTGTTGAGGTTAATACGTCTTGATCCAAAGGCCCAACACACCCCTTTGAAGTCAATAAAAACTCTCGAATGGAGGATAATCAAGAAAGGAAATCAACTAATGTAATCACTCAATAGCTCAATTGCATTAGTATAATTATGCTTATTACAAAGTGTATGGCCGAACGGAAGTACGGACCAGTGCTCATACAAGAGCTAGAGTGAAGTATATAGCGAGTGGGTATCCAAATGCTAACCCTTTACAATGGGTTGAATGCTACTATTTATACCACGAATGGATAGGTGAGAAGGATGACATGGCTACCCCTGAATGGAGGATCTTCTTGTCATTTGTACACCGGCCATACTTGCCACTTGATTGTCCATATTCCAGCATGAAATGCGCCCCTACAACTTGCAAGGCTTCTCGATTGGTTTTTTGGGCTAAAGTAATCAATAGTCATGAATATGTATCCTTCTGCCCAAGTGTGAGATTCAACCCGTTCGGGAGTAACCGAACGGGTATTATGTATCAGATTGCTCGACCCGTTCGAGCGAACACTAGTTGCCTAGCGCTCATTGGGCTCTGTTACTTCTTTTGGGCTTCTCAGGATATTTGGGTCGGATTCCTGGGCCAGTCCCTAATATCCCAACACAAGTCCCCCACTTCCAATGTTCTGAGCGTGCTCAGGGCATAAGGAAGTAGAAAGGTTATCGTTCGGTACTACCGTTCAGGCAGAGCTTCGCTGATTCCCGATGCATGGATTTGACGGTTCTTAGTGGCTGCCGGTTGATTTCCCTAAGCAATCTTATGATTACTTGATGTTTCGTCTCCGCTTGACACATGTTCGTGGAACCGCTCCCTGCTACGTGTCCTTTTCCTGTTGGTCAGCGAATCGGAGCTTAAACCTATAAATAAGACCCTTGGGTTATTGGTTCTGGGTTTCCGAACTTTGCTTCTCTCTAGCTTGCTCTGTCTTCTCTCTAGAAAAACCCTAATTCGAAGTTGTTCAGGTAATTTTGGGCTTTTCTTTTTCATCCGAATTCGGTTCTTCGTTCAGTAAAATGACTGAGGGTTCCTCTTCTAGCTCTTCTGGTTCCTCTAATTCAGACTCCACTATCCATGAGACGGTTCGAGAAGATGCTACTAGCGCTGCCGTTGATAGTACAGCGGGCCCAAACACCGCTACAGAGGTTGTGGCGGATGACAACCATTCTGATGATGGTTCTGATGATGCTAAGTTGGGTGATGACATGGCGGTCGCTAGGGCTGGCCCCCCGGGACGATTTACCCCGCCATGAACTGAAGTTGAAATCCATTAGGAAAAGGAGACAAAAACTCTCCCCAAGAATTAGGGCCCGTATTCCAAACCTTATCCCAGACCCGGTCGATTCCCACCTCCACGCTGGGCTCCATCCGTTGTGCCACCGCCCGGGGATGGTGGTGGTGCATTACTTCACTCTCGAATTAAACATATGGAGATTGATCTCTTCTTTGTTAGAGAGAAATTTCAATCCAAGTAGCTTGTAGTCTATCACATTCCAGCTCTTCATCAACTTGTTGATGTCCTGACTAAACCTTTGTCAGCCTCCTCATTTCTTGATCTCAGAACCAAACTTAGTGTGATTGAATCTCCAACTCAATCACCCTAACTTTGAGGGGGATGTTAGGAATACTGTACAAGTTCTCTAATTGTAATTAGCCTAGTCTATGTGGCAGATTATTGTTAAAGTCTGTTATATTAGTTCGAGACTAGCGGTTAGTTAGTTAGTGCATTTCTCTCTATAAATACTTGTATTGATCTCCTTAATCAATGCGATTTCTGTTTTCACTCTCTTTCCACATCTGCTGCATTTCTAATATTACAAAATTTTCTCTAAGTAATGGTGGAATGATCCCTAAATTCATATTCCTGAAAAAAAAACTCAATTCAATCTGACAAATAGAGAGTGAGGCTCTGTCTCCGGTACTTGCAGAGGCCTTTTGCAGTTGTCGGGATTCAAACTCGGGACCTAACCCTTGTGGCACTCCCTCGCCATCAGTTGAGCTACGCCCACCGGTAAAAAAAAAGAAAAAAATTGGCCACGAAGTCAGGAACTACGTAATACATATGGAGTACAAAATACGGAATACCGTATAAGACACACAAGAATAAAAAAAGAATAAAAATGAAAACAAAATGTCAAATCAACCACTGACCTACTATTGGGAGGTGTCATCAGGTACCTTGGCCTAACTGATGAAATTTCAATAGTAAATGTATTTATTTAATACTTCTTTAAGTAGAAGGGTTGGAGTGATTTATTTTATATATACAGTAGAAGGTGTATCACAATGTCTCAGTATTGCAAACATTGTCGAAATATTTGAAAACAATCTCTCAGTATTGCAAACATTGTCGAAATATTTGAAATTGTCACAATGTCAGAAAATATCACAATGTCATATCGTGACAATGTTAATGCTATAAAAAGTATATTATTACAAAAAATGTCAATGTCACATTATTGTAAACATTGTAAAAATGTGGCAAAGTTAACATAATTTATTAACATTATTTATTTTATCCAGATATTATTAAAAAATGTGACAATGTCATGACAATGACAATTTCAATGTTATAAAAATGACATTGTAACGATGTCAATGACAATATTGTGAATGTTCTGTCACTATAAAAATTACATTGCTAAAAGTAATGTCAATGACCGCCTCCGTTTGTGCTTCGGCACCGCCACTCAATTCCAGTGTTCAGGCGACCCCCTACACTTTAACCTTTGATAACCGATGTCTCTATTACTCATACAACCTCATCCGTCAGTCCTTCAAGAACCTTCGCCACCGGTCCTCCACTGTAAAAAGAAGATGTTGCAATGTTAAAAAATGACATAATGATAAGATAAAATGACACAATGTCAAGAAAATGTGAAAATGTCTAACATTATAATATGCATTGTCAAATTCAACAGTGTTGCACTGTTGTAAACATTGTCAAAATGTAACAAAATGTTACAAAGTAAAAACGTCAAAATGTCCAAAAAAAATATTAACATGTCAAAGAATATCACAATGTCAAACATTTTCATTTCAAACATTCTCAAAATGAACACTTTCACAATATCTTTTTTTCTCACGACATATTTAACAATTTAACATCAAAATTGCTGAAATTTACATGCATTGTCAACTCTTCATCAATGTTTTGTTGAGAAGTGCAGTTTTGAAAACAATGACAAAGATATTGACACAAATTAACGTTCTATGGCGATGGCGACTTAAAAGAATGAAAAAAAAGAGCAGTGGATTCTGGCGGCGGAGGTGCAGTGGTGGAGGAGGTTTCCACGGTGGAGCTTCGGTCTTGCGAAGTGATTCCGTGGAGTCTGAGCGGGACAATGTTGCCTCGTACTTAGGCAGCTGAGTAGGTCTGATTTGTGGGAAGGGTATCTTAATCCCTTTAATATTTTTTGGTCTCTTTTTTTGTCCAAATTCAAAAAACGGTCTTATTTATGTCTCTTTAAATGCCTAGAGTGCTATATTTGTCATTATTTCTTTTTTTTGGTAGAAGACGACTTAAATTGATATCACATCATTCAGAAAGGGAACAAGAAGATAAAAGGAACACTTCCAACCGTCGACCCTCGAATCAGACTTAGAATCAATCACCTTTAAAAAGCAATATGACTCGATGATTCTATAATGGGTCTAAATGAGCCTAACGCGGTTAAAATAGATCCCTTATCACCCAATCCTGATGCAAGAGTTTAACAGAAATAAAAG